ACAAAAATCATTTCAGTGTTTTCTTAGCATTTCAACATTACATCAACTACTGATAAACGTTCATTTTTATTTGAATTATCACTCAGAGGGTTATTTAACCATGTACTACTTGTATGTCTTTGGATGACTTTTTGTCTTTCAAACACATTAAAATGCCCAAATGCACATTATTTCTCATTTACATGTAGGGATTCCCAAATTGTTTTGTCAGCTGAACCTCTTACCTAATATATTTAGTTGAAGTACCCCTGAGATTTTCAAATAAATATTTTAATAATAAAGTATAACATTTGCATGTTCACGGTTCTCTGATGTTGGTTAATAGTCACATGACATGCAGGTAAACAAATAAAATATTTACATTTTTTTGTGTGCGTGTTTTATTTTGATTGATGATATTTCCATTTTTTATTATTTTTTTTATTTTACATTTTTATGATTTATTAATTATTTGGCTTTTCCGTAAACACACAATCCCCTCTGCAGATGCTTTACAGGAACCGGTTTAGGAAACCTTAATAATGTAATGTAATATTTAATGCACTTCATGTTGTCAATAACAACAAATAGAATATATTTTCTTTTTCTTTACATTTTTATATTGATATGGTACAAGATTATCCTATTTAAATCAATGTGATAAGTTAGGTCAAAAGTAATCGTCTGATTATATTACCTAAAATGTGTAAAGTAATGGAGCTATAATTTTTGTCATGTCATTTGGAATCAGTAACAGATTACAGTAATCTACCCAGCACTGTGTTCTATAATAATTAAACTGAGACAACGAAAAAAAGAAAAACTATAGAGATAGATAGATAGATGGATAGAAGATAGATAGATAGATAGATAGATAGATAGATGATGGATGGATGGATGGATGGATGGATGATGGATAGATAGATGATGGATGGATGGATAGATAGATGGATAGATAGATGATAGATGGATGGATAGATAGATGATAGCTGGATGGATGGATGGATAGACGGACAGATAGATAGATAGATAGATAGATAGATAGACGGATGGATGGATGGAGAGATGGATAGATAGATAGATGGATACATAGACGAATAGATAGACGGATAGATAGATGGATGGATGGATGGATAGATGATAGATAGATGATGGATGGATGGATAGACAGATAGATCGATAGATGGATAGATAGACGGATAGATAGATGATAGATAGATAGATAGATAGATAGATAGTTGGATACTAGATGGATGGATGGATAGATGATAGATAGATGATAGATAGATGGATGGATAGATAGATGATAGATAGATAGATGGATGGATGGATAGATAGATAGATAGATAGATAGATAGATAGATAGATAGATAGATAGATAGATAGATAGATAGATAGATAGATAGATAGATAGATAGATAGATAGATAGATAGATAGATAGATAGATAGATAGATAGATAGATAGATAGATAGATAGATAGATAGATAGATAGATAGATAGATAGATAGATAGATAGATAGATAGATAGATAGATAGATAGATAGATAGATAGATAGATAGATAGATAGATAGATAGATAGATAGATAGATAGATAGATAGATAGATAGATAGATAGATAGATAGATAGATAGATAGATAGATAGATAGATAGATAGATAGATAGATAGATAGATAGATAGATAGATAGATAGATAGATAGATAGATGGATGGATGGATAGATAGATGATGGATGGATGGATAGACAGAGATAGATAGATAGATAGATAGACGGATAGATGGATAGATAGATAGACGGATAGATGGATGGATGGATGGATTGATAGATAGATGGATGGATAGATAGATAGATAGATGGATGGATGGATAGATAGATGATGGATGGATAGATAGATAGATAGATAGATAGATAGATAGATTTTTTAAAAAGACTAGAAACAATCGTTTATATGTAAAATTATTAATATAAAAGGTGTTTAGCCTATATCTTCCTTGCAACATATGTTCAAGATTTTTCATAAAATTCATAGCACACCTGTTCTCAATGAAGTTCAATGCTCAGCGTTTATTCAAGCCCTGAAGTCTGAGCAATAATTACACTGATACTTAGCAAGTAGCGCCGATCATGAAAATGTTTTTACATAATGTCAACATGAGCTCGTGAGCTGCTCTCGTGTTGAATGGCTGAGTCGGTTGCTATGGAGACGCCTAACACAGCGCAGCTGTCAGTCACTATTGAGTTTGAACACAACAAGGACGTTTACTGATTTCTGCGAGAGATGATAGATGTACTGTACAAACCAGCGCTCGGAGTCTGTGAAGGTAAACATTCATAACCTTGCAATACTTCACCATGGTAGCCGTTGTTTCCTGCAAAACAGCACAGTTACTGCATAGTTAGGTCGTTTTCTAATTGTCCTTTTCTTTCTTTCGTTAACGTTACATTAAAATGTCATTGAAATGCATGAGCTGAAGACTACACAATAATTTACTAATAATAACAACAATAATAATATATAGTGCTTACAGTCAGTACTAAAAGCGCTTTAGCAAACAAATAGACTAGCAAACAATATCACGGTAAGAATTTTTTTAGGCTATAAATGCGATTATGCTCACCCAGGCTGCATTTGTTTGTTCAGAAATACAGTAAAAATAGCAATATTGTTAAATGTTACAACAATTTAAAATAACTGTTTTCTATCTGAATATATTTTAAAATGTAGCTAATTGGTGAATTTTCAGCAGTGTCACATGATCCTTCAGAAATCAGTCTAAAATGCTGATTTGCTGCTTAAAGGGATAGTTCACCCAGAAATGAAAATGCTGTCATCATTTACTCACCCTCATGTCGTTCCAAACCTGTGTGAGTTGCTTTCTTATGTTGAACACAAAAGAAGATATTTTGAAGATTGCTGGTAATCAAACCGTTAGGCTGCATTTACACTGGCACAAAAAATCCGATCTTTCGCTCACATCTGACACAGATCGGAATTTGTTGCACACGTGTAAACACAAAAACCCACACGAGATCCGATTTTTTTGCATCCGATCTGAGCCACTTCCAAATGTGGATTTTAATCGGATACACATCTGATATCTGGACATCCGACCTACGTCTAAACACACTATCCGATTCTCCACAGAACTCCTAATGCGAGGGCGACACGTTTGCTCATGAAGATTTTTAATGGCGTTTTAATGCCGGTGTGCTGTATGCGCTCGCATTTTACTGAGATGGAAACTTTTTATAGGTAAGAAATTGCACATTCAGGAGCTGGTTTTCAACCCCCGCCCTGTGAATTTTGAAAATACAACAGTTAAAAGCTACATATATTTCTCAGCAATGAGGTGAGAACTTAACAGTTTTTGTAACTGAACCGACAAGCTTGTTTGCAATGCTTCACAATCGCTCGCTTGCACTTGGGTGCATGCGTTCGTTCGTTCTCTCTCTCTCTCTCTCTTCTCTCTCTCTCCTTAATTCGAATTCATTTCAGTAAATATCATCTTTATTTCACTAAAGAATTCTACCTATAACGAGCTGTAGATAAAATAGTCAAATTAAAATTACCGTTATTTTCCCGTTGTCCATGCTGGCAAATAATAATGGCCATTCAACGTGAATTATATAAATAATTTTAAAAGCACGGCCATTTAAAACCCGAGGGTCTACCATGTGCATAGTAAAGCGATCACTGCAAATAGTCAAATTAAAATTACCGTTATTTTCCCGTTGTCCATGCTGGCAAATAATAATGGCCATTCAACGTGAATTATATAAATAATTTTAAAAGCACGGCCATTTAAAACCCGAGGGTCTACAATGTGCATAGTAAAGCGATCACCGCAGACAATCCTTTTGGGTGGGAATTAATGTAAACACAGATATCGGATACCAGTCGTGTCTAAAGTGAATGTAAACAGACGTGCCAAAACAATCGGATATGGTCAAAAGATCGGATCTGTGCATTAAGACGTGCAGTGTAAACGCAGCTTTGGTGGTTGCCATTGACTTCCATAGTATTTTTTTTCCTACTATGGAAGTCAATGGCAACCACCAACTGTTTGATTACCAGCAATCTTCAAAATATCTTCTTTTATGTTCAAC